ACTCCGAGAACCTCTTTTTTTCCACATTCACAATATAAATAGGTTGAAGCTGATGTTGAATAGCCAAATTGGCAATGTTTTCTCTACTTAACACGTTGGCGACAATTCAAACTTCGTTTGAAAGCATCAGTCTTAGTTCATGAGTTGGTCCAGGCGCTCCAGAATTTCAGCTTCGTTTCATGAGCGTTTATGTTATTGATTGTGACCATTTTCTTACGCCCGCCACGAAAACAAAAAATAAACATTCAGTTGTCTCGTTCTCTAAGAGCATGAACGTCAGTGTCATGAATGTATGGTTAGTGGCAATTGGTAAAGTGGCCATTGGTAAATGGCGTTCAATCTCTTTGCCAACTTATCTTCTATCAATTGTAAAGTCGAAGGTGCAAGGTACTACGAAAACATAGGCTACATAAATTATGGATCACCTTTTCGTCATAAATCTTTACGGTGACTGCACAGATGGTGGTCGCCTATTCACCATTTCCAGGCTACATATATGGGCTGATGCATAATTATTGCGGATTTTTCAACAAATTTTATTCAGCGAAAACGAAAAAAAATATTTTCACAAACCATGTTTAGATGATTACCCCGTAGCGTAGTCACCATACTTCAAGAATGCTTCCCATTTGCTTGGCAGTCGCCTTCGATTCAGTAAGTGGTGATTTTGGAGACGATCCATATATTATCGGCCACCGAGATATTCGGTGAATTTTGTTGGTCTGCCACACTTTCAACAACTGATCGAAGTGGTAGCCTGTAGGAGCTTCAGTCGGCGAAATATGGCGTTTTGAACCTCTTGAACCATATTTCAACTTGGCTTTTGCCGATTGTCCCATCGCCGAAAAGATCGTTGAGATCGCGAAATGACCCTGCCGCCTTTCAACCTTTCTCGAAGTGGTAGAGCATATGTGGCGAATATGAAGATGATTTTCGATAAGCATTCTGTTAATGAAAGAGAGAAGAATATTTCCATGAAAAAATAATAAACAAAACGTCCAATCTTATCGAAAAAAAAAGAAGGCGCAAAAAAATCCGCAATAATACATTTATGCATCACCATAAGATTTAGGAAATGCGCTTGTTGATTGAATTCATACTGAGATTCCGGCACTCTGAAGGCATCCAGCTCGTATTCCTACGTTCGCGCTGACACACTCTGCTGCTGAAGCCATTTACGCTCCCTTTCAAAAAGCCGGAAAATTGTGCGGTGCAGACTAGAACATACACAACTTGACGACGGCCTCAAAGTAAATCTGGTTAGTAGTGGTTCATAGTGATAGCTGATTTTTAGTAAATGATAGTTGTAATTAGTGTCAACTGATCGAATACAACTGTAACAGGTTAATCATTTCATTGGCAAAAACATTTGCATTTTCTGGAGGCCGTCGTCACTTGTGGTGTATGGTCTGCACCAACACTTTCTGGCTTTGAAGTGGAGGGTATATCTTGCCAGGAACTACTGGTCAACGTCTACCACTTCATCGACAAACTCGTTGCTCTCATAGAACTACATATTGCGCGTTTGCAAGACTTCGCGTTCAAAATTCTAGCATTGCTTCCGGTTCGCAGCACATCGCCCTACATCATTTGTCTACGAATTACCTGTTTCGAGTCAGTAGCTTTTTGAAGCGTACCTACAAATCTTGCAAAATTGCCTGCTGTCTTTGCAGAGATATGTACAGGGGGAGGGAACTGAGCAGTGAAAAAGCATATCGTATGTATGGTATCCCTACAAAATGGAATCAATCACACTTTGCTAGATTTAAACCAAAAACGCTTCAGCTTAGAATTGAAGAGCAATATCATAGGCACAACTGCATAACGGTTCTCCTTTGCAAACATGAGCAGAAGAAACTGTCACGGAAACATGTGCTAAGTTGGGCTTAGCGGGATAGTCGACGGATCGTGGACCACTACGACACTATTTGAAATGTGAGCTGGGAGGGATTTCGTAATACTCAGAGCTACTTTCTTTAAGAACTACTCATAACGAAAACAATCAGGAACCCTTTCATTATTGTGGCAAGTGTTTCCTTTAGGAGAGCTTTGGCTGGAGCAATTTCGCGGTAGGTCTCCTTTGAGTTCGACGGGCGGTTTGCAACGACGCCATTATTATGAAGGCACTAAGTGGAATGTTGCAGAGGTGCTTGCTTCTAAAGTATGGAGGGATATGAAAGGAACTCTGTTGTTTCGGGAGATTTCACAACGCAGCAGTTTTTATAGCTTGACGTTTGCTAATAGCTGTATCTATGTTTGTCTCTTTTTTTGAGAAATGCCTCAAACTTCTTTTTTTTGCCCGCCCGCATGGGTCTATAGTTGCTTGAAGTTTCCTAGTTCAAAATTCGGGAGTCGATCAAAATCTGGGATCAATATCAGATCACATTCACTCAGTTTAACAAGCCCATTGGGTTCCGGAGCGGCCGTATTGTAACGTAACTAGCTATGGCAGGATCAAGATACCGCACAATTTAGAATGGAGGTAGAGTGCGAAGCGCATTCCCAGGCGAAATCGGGCAGCGCCAACCCCCTATCTGCTTCACTGGGCAAGTCCCTCCCCGATATAGTTGCTAGGTCTGTAACTGCACAGGTGGGTACTTTTGTGCCTTGAAACGCATCACTAACAATAAGACGCTAGGGGCATCGCACTTGGATGCTTGTACGCCGCATGTATCCGTGCACGGGCGCCGTGGTGGTCTCATCTGTGTTGTATCTCTGATCTGCTATACTCCTTCGCCCAAATATCTCTTCTGTCCCGTCGGCTTCCGTTATCACTTATTTAGCTGTCCGCTTCTTAGACTCCCACAGCGTAGAACAATTAGGCATTAACTCTCTGTGAAGGTTTCCTCTTTTTCTTATTTCATGGTCACTTTGCACGGACAGCTCCATTATCGAGCGTACTTATACCGCAACTTTATCGTGTGAAGAATTTGAATATAATAATGTGTAGTTCGATTGGGAGATCACAAAAAATACTTAACTACTAAAAGAACCCAGCTAAGAAGTTGCAACACGACATTCCCCTTAGGTGTTGTAATGTCGACTAACAGAACAGTTCTCACCTTTAAACTTCGAGTTCATACTCTACTACCTGTCCAGTGGAAACAGTTCGTGGGAAAAAAATCTACAATGACGGAAAAAAGCAATTCCTGCGGCGAGAAAATGTGCCCGTGATGATAAGACCTTGCCGCCTCAGTGAGCTGAAAATAGGGTCAACCAGCAGAAACAAGCTATTGTTCTCGCCCACACCGTCATTGGAATATGAAGTCCTTCAGCATCACCGATGAGTTCAGTAAGGCGAATCTACGACCATTTTCTCGTGGCAAATTCTTTTGATGTCGCCCTTGTAGAAGAGCATTGGTGAAGTCACCGATCACGACAGGTTCTAGAGGAATTCAGGGAGGTCGTGGGTTGCCCAATTGTACGCGTGCGGCGAAGAAAGCGAGATGTCCGTCAAGAAAATGCAGAACGTGACATATTTCTTGGCTGTTGATTAAGGGTACCCCGCAAACCATGCTCCAATCAAGTTGCTCCAGTTGTGCCGCTGCTGGCAACACAGCTCGTCCAAATCACCAACTAAACTAGTGGGTGGAGCGCTTAGGGGCGTGGCGATTTTCAAGTACTGCTCAGCAACCAGCGCACCTTTCGTCGTGAAAGCGCTGCATCCCTCGGCAGCCAAGCTACTGCATTGTGTGGCGCATATACTTCCCCGACGCGCCCCTGCTCTCTCTTATGTGTTCCGCCACTCTTAAAGGCAAGATTCAGGATTGAATTATGAGTTAATTCCACTTAAATGTGAAAGTAGGGGTAGGTAGTGGACCGCCAGTGCAGAAAAGAGAAAAAGAAATCGTGAAATGCTTAGGAAATACGAGCCATTTCCTCTACGGTGCGGAGAAGTTCAAAAGGCCGGCAGGGAGATGAGAGATAATGTGAGCGCGGAGAGCGCTAGAGAAGTCTAAGTAGAGAGAGCATAGCAGATCAACATTCCGACGCAGTCAAGATATCGAGCGGTGGGCGGAGCGTGTCGCAGCAGGTGGAGCGTGTCAAAGTTCTTAGAGCCTAGCGTCTAAATAACGGTTTTCGAAGTAGGGAAGTGACGCGACCCATACACTTGCGTGCCTAGCGCTTCTAGCCACCGTAAAGGCTCATTAAGTGGGTCTGAGCCCGAACTTTGCCTTTAAGCTTAATAGAAAACGTAGTTAATTCTGCTAACAGTTAGACGGATCTAGTGCTTGAGCTCAGATAAAGTGTGATTAACCAGACTTGAATTTGAGAGGAACGCCGCCTTCCCTTCCGCATTTGCGTCCAATCCGCTTCCCCCCCGCGCCCAATCCGCACCTTCTACATATTTTTTGCTAAAGGCAAAATATGTCGAGGATCTCAGTCGTCCCACCGAAAAACGTGACCTCTCCCCAATGGAAACGATCCACGAGCCAAGAAATACAAGCTCCCTCGTGAAGACTCCTGTCGGGTTGTTGATCCTGCTCAAAAATGAGTTATCAGCGTCTCTGTTCAACACTGTCTGTTTCCACATTTGTTCTTTCCACTCTTCAGCTTCAGTGTCCATCATAACGTTTGTGAGCATTCACCGCTTTTAATAAAACGAGGCCTTATTGTTCAGCACTTGGAGCGCTTTCCTTTCGGCTCGCTGTCGCTGCCACTCTGTCACTCCGCTCCACTTCACTTTCCAGCTTAGCCACATGTTGTTAGCGTTTGATGTGCCTCTGAGTTCTCTCACAAATTATAGAGGAAATTTTCAAAACGTTTTTGTGGACGACGATTAATTTACTCATCTTTCTGAAGAAATGTCAAACGAACCAGACTGAATCTGATTACCTTTTGAACCATTCATATGTAGTTATAGGCACATTCAAGGCGACTCTCACGGTGCGCTATTCTTCGGAAAGTCGAAGTTCACTTGATTCGGCCTCATAAAAGGTGTTGTTTACCAGCCTGCGTAACAATATGAAACTTCGACTTCGTGAACCATCATCATCTGTATGATACTTGTGATTATTCAAGCATGTGCACAGGAGAACGGCAAAGTTGTAAAGGTACGAGGTCATTTCCATAAACGCTACTAGAAGAGCTTGTCTTGTCTAAATTTCTGTGCATTTCAGCAAGTTTTGTTCTCACGAAATGTGCCAGCATGGCGCTCATCAATGCGCGTTAGACAGGTAAGCCCTTCCTCTAATCGGGATTTTGAAAAAAAAATTGGAAATGGAACATACTGTAAAAGTTTTAGTTGTAGCTGTTATTTGGAAGGTAGGTCCTTCAGAAGGAAGAATATGTGATGAAAAGTTAGCTCATTGGAAATAAGGGTAGAGGTGGTCAGTGGAGCAGGGATGAAGAAGAAACCATTTGAAACGGCCGAAACCCGAGAAATGGGACCCCTTCCTTGCCCGTTGATTTGCGCATTGATGCGACTCTCATCGCTGTGCCCTCTTCAACACTACGCTCTCTCTGCTATCTAATCACTCCCACGTATAGATCTGCGGCGAGTGATTAGATAGCCGGTGGCGTAACCCGCCAAGCGTGCAAGTGTAAGCCATGCTAGATCGCCGAGGTCAGATCGTTCGCTGCCAATTGCGCGTCCGTCAGCCCTCAGGTGGTCCGCATGTCCGCATGTCTCTCAACTATGCGATTTTTCTTTGTCCTTACGTTTTTAATCGTGAATTCTCCTTCAAGCGATTTATGTGGGAGGTGAGAGGAACCTCTGCTCAAGTTATTTCCTAATACTAGTCTGTCATCCCTGGTACATAATGATGCATCAAATCCCTTCCGATCTTCTTCAATGTGCACGGAGAGGATAGCTTGTGATGTTCCTTTCAATCATTTGAACCCGATGAAAGAGATGTTTAATTCTGTACTCTCATTTGGGCCACTCAGATTTTGCAAATCCAGCAAATCGTTGGTAATTGCTGGGTGAGAACCTTGCGCCAGCGGCTAGAACGATTCGTCAGCAACCACTTCGGAAAGTGGCGAGTTTTTCCAATGTACACTGCCCCCTTTTTGCTAAGGCATGATAGAGCTGGCGAGCATGAGGGCCTGTGAAAGTGGAAAGAATCAACGCGTGCATGAGAGAAGCTTTCGTCAATCTTCCACACCGTAACCGCTGAAAACGAGTGGTAATGATAACATTGTTCGCGCCTTCCTTCATGGAAGTTTTACTATTTGTCTCTTTAAAGAAGGATCTACCCTAAGGTCGGATGTCGAAGAAGGGGAAAGATACCTAGTCGAAGGACATGCTAGCCACTTAAGGGTGCGAGACGATTCTCGTTCTGCAGCGATGAGTATGTCCCGACAGCCTATCAGGGCCATTCCCGCTCTGCGACACGCTCATGCTCCTACTGTCTGACTCTGGCTGTTTAATAGAGATAGCGTTAGCGCTGAAGATGGCAGCATCGATCAGAGTTGCACCAATGCAGAAGTCACCAGGGTCCCCTTTCTCGGGCTCTGAGCCTTTTCACATTTTTTTTCTCCACCCCTGCTTCCACTGACCACCTCTACACTGATTTCTAAGGGCTGACTTTTCATCGTAAACTCCGCCTTCAAGCAAATCTCTATCCTTTCACTATCTGTCTCTTCTCCCATACATAGAGTGTAACATTGAGAAATCAACCCAAATGGATTTTTACACAATTCAGGTCCAAGGTAATTTCCCTCGCTTATCTGCGTTCTATGACGGCGGCTCTCGACCACAGCTCTTCAACCACTTCAATAAGCGATACGTCGACTTGTACGATGCCGACAATCTTGAGCGTTGATTATTCAATGCTTGCTTCGTCAAAACTATGTTGATCTCAACTGATTTGGGCATCTCATGAAACTTTCGAGTAGATTTCTCACACGTTGTCGCATTCCTTGTGTTATGAAATAAATATGTTGACCAAGTTGTCCATACACAAAGAGCGTTGATCTGTTATCGCTTCTTTCTTCGATGTCACAATTATCAGCGAGGATTTGGGCGTAATGCAGCAAATTGAACGAGTGTGAAGTTTTTCATTCTGTTCAGATCTGCTACGTGACCTGCTCTTCAAACTACTACTGCTACTTGCCAACCGGAAAGTGAATTGCCGATCGCTGCTGCTTCACAACTACACCACCTTTTTAAAGCACTTGAATGCATTTCCACGTTGCGAGAAACCAAACATTAAAGTCGAAACGAGTGTACAATTCAGAATACCAGGCACACACTACTGCGCGCGTCACATCATACAC